GCACTCCCCCAAGCTTGGCCAGCTGAGATTTGGTCAGCCAAGTCCTTGGCCGCGCCTCCGGCTGAGCTAGGCAATCGTGGCGGGCACCTCCAGGAGGGCGGCCCAAAGTGAGATTATGGCTCAGAAATGGCTGGCCAAGCTTGGATACTGGTGCTAGACACCTCCAAAAGCACTCCCCCAAGCTTGGCCAGCTGAGATTTGGTCAGCCAAGTCCTTGGCCGCGCCTCCGGCCGAGCCATGGGAGGGGCGGCGGGCACCTCCAGGAGGGCGGCCCAAAGTGAGATAATGGCTCAGAAATGGCTGGCCAAGCTTGGATACTGGTGCTAGACACCTCCAAAATCACTCCCCCAAGCTTGGCCAGCTGAGATTTGGTCAGCCAAGTCCTTGGCCGCGCCTCCGGCTGAGCTAGGCAAGGGGCGGCGGGCACCTCCAGGAGGGCGGCCCAAAGTGAGATAATGGCTCAGGATTGGCTGGCCAAGCTTGGATACTGGTGCTAGACACCTCCAAAATCACTCCCCCAAGCTTGGCCAGCTGAGATTTGATCAGCCAAGTCCTTGGCCGCGCCTCCGGCTGAGCTAGGCAAGGGGCGGCGGGCACCTCCAGGAGGGCGGCCCAAAGTGAGATAATGGCTCAGAAATGGCTGGCCAAGCTTGGATACTGGTGCTAGACACCTCCAAAATCACTCCCCCAAGCTTGGCCAGCTGAGATTTGGTCAGCCAAGTCCTTGGCCGCGCCTCCGGCTGAGCTAGGCAAGGGGCGGCGGGCACCTCCAGGAGGGCGGCCCAAAGTGAGATAATGGCTCAGAAATGGCTGGCCAAGCTTGAATACTGGTGCTAGACACCTCCAAAATCACTAGGGTTAGGGTTAGGGTTAGGGTTAGGGTTAGGGTTAGGGTTAGGGTTAAGGTTAGGGTTAGGGTTAGGGTTAGGGTTAGGGTTAGGGTTAGGGTTAGGGTTAGGGTTAGGGTTAGGGTTAGGGTTAGGGTTAGGGTTAGGGTTAGGGTTAGGGTTAGGGTTAGGGTTAGGGTTAGGGTTAGGGTTAGGGTTAGGGTTAGGGTTAGGGTTAGGGTTAGCGTTAGGGTTAGCGTTAGGGTTAGGGTTAGGGTTAGGGTTAGCGTTAGGGTTAGCGTTAGGGTTAGGGTTAGGGCTAGCCTTAGGCTTAGGGTTAGGGTTCGGGTTAGGGTTAGGGTTAGGGTTAGGGTTAGGGTTAGGGTTAGGGTTAGGGTTAGGGTTAGGGTTAGGGTTCCGGTTAGGGTTAGGGTTAGGGTTAGGGTTAGGGTTAGGGTTAGGGTTAGGGTTAGGGTTAGGGTTCCGGTTAGGGTTAGGGTTAGGGTTAGGGTTA